TTGTTTAGAATCTAACCTATTCATTTTTTCGTCATTCCATCAGTGCTACCAAAAAATAATGTAAGGCAGCAAATGACTCATTAGGTTATTGGAAAAGCCGCAATTAGAACTTTAGTTCAACCGTTCCTACCTGTACCATTCCTTATGCATTTTCTATTAAAGAACAGTGAGAGAAAAAGCCATGAAATCAACCAATGAAAGTCTCAGGACAGCTAGTGTTTATCTGATTATGTGACTCATTACACCTAGAAAAAGATATTTTTTTCTCTTTACTAAAACAAAGTAGAAAAAATGTGCTTCAGGAAACAGTGTAGAGTTGTTATTATTATCATGATTGTCAATGGTGGAATAATATTATGGAAACAGACTTGTAACCAGAACAGACCTAATATAGCTCTGGATCCTAGTAGCAAAGATTGTTATGGAAACCTAAGTGAAACGTGTACAGTAATAAACTTTGTGTAGGGTCTTATTGTTCTAATCAGGTCCAACACTGGTTGAGACCATTTTGGAAATCGTGTAGAAAGTAAATTATGCTGTTTCAGCAGGGGGCAAAGCCTCACTCTTCACTCTAAGTAGCCTAGCATTCAAAAGAATTCCTCTTTCAGGCTGGTGCAGTGGCTCACACCTGTAATCCCAGCACTTTGGGAGGCCGAGGCGGGTGGATCACTTGAGGTCAGGAGTTCAAGACCAGCCTGGCCAACATGGTGAAACCCCGTCTCTACTAAAAATACAAAAATTAGCCGGGGGTGGTGATGTGCTCCTGTAATCCCAGCTACTTGGGAGACTGAGGCACGAGAATCACTTAAACCTGGGAGGTGAAGGCTGCAGTGAGCCAAGATCGTGCCATTGCACTCTAGCCTGGGCAATAGAGCGAGACTCAGTCTCAAAAAAACACAGAATTCATCTTTCAGAACCTTTCTATGGAAACAGGTTATGAGTTAGAATAAACGCAGGATGCCATAAAGCTTTCCAGAACAGCTAGTTTTTAAAGTTGCCCTGAAGCCTACATTTGAGAGGAGACAAAAGTTTACAAGAGAATCGCTTGACATCATATTCTGTGTAGCCTGTTTCACTTAAAGCAAGCTTGTTTTTGACTAGTTTGTCCCGTATGCTTTGACATGATTGGCAGATGAAGATTGAACAAGCTGAGAGCTCTTTCTAGAAAGACGGGCCCTGAGAGTCTGGTAAGGCCTAAGTGAGCATGTCCAAGGCTGCAGCCCAGCTTGCCTCAGCAGTGGCCCGAGCACAGGTGCATGGCCTCTGTGGTGTCAGCGCATGTACTTTAACAAGCACTCTCAGTCACTCTGCAAAAAGCCAGTACTCTGAAAGTAACTATACCAGGATAAAAAGACAGAGAAACCTCAAGCATTACAGGGTATACTTTGTTTGGTACAATGTATTTAACCTTAGTTGTAGGTGGTGATATTAACCATAATTTGCTAGAATAACTCATTCAGTCATTTAAATGATCTGGGCACGTGCCTTCATGGAACTCACAGGACAGTAAGACTACAAGATCCTGATAAAGCTGAAGTTGTAAGCAGGTCTGTGTCAGCTCTGTAATTGTGGAGAGAGGGAATGGGGATACTGCTTTAATTCGTGTATGGGAGCATACTGACTTGGCTCTTACCAAATGTTTTCCTATTTCTATTAATTTGGACTGTATTCCTCTTGATATTGTGATGCCGCTTCCTCCATCACTGCCTCCTTTCCTTTTCGTTGCACTTTAAACATTGGCTTCCACCTGCACTCTACCCTTTTCTTGACCTCCTCACTCCTCAGTTCTGCATGGGCAACTTCATTTCACGTTCCTTGCAGCTAGCCACTTGTATGCCCATAAATCCCAGCTTAGACCTCTCTCTGCTGAGCTTTAGACCCATATTTCCAACTGTCTCCTGAACATCTTCATCTGCATAAGCTGAGACCCCTTGAATTTAGCAGATCCCATCCAAACTCATTTTATTTCTCAAACTTTTTACATCTATTTGCTCTCTTTCTTCATGCCATGCAAGCTACACAGTAGTCTGAGCCCGTCATGCTGTCATTTCTTTTCACTCTAAACTCATGACAGCTAACTAATCATTAAGTTCTATAATTTCTGCCTTCTTCAGGTATCTCAAATGTGTTCCCTCCTCTCCATTACCACTGCTATCACCGCAGTTCACATTTTCAGCATTTACAAGAGCTTCTGATCATCTCTGAAGCTGGCATTTATTTTCCAACTCATTCTTCACACAGTAGCTGGAGAAGTCCTTTATAATTGCTTGATTGTGTCACTCTCCTGCTTAAAACCTTCAGTGGCTTCATATTTTCTGCCATTGTTACATTCTCAAGTATCTACAGGAATTAGGCAAATAACATATATGAGTGAAGTGGGCCAAGTGTGACACAATAAGGAGAATAAGAGAGGACATTTCTGCTGAAGAGATTTATAATCAGAATTTAAAAAAAACCAGCTGGGTGCTGTGGCTCACACCTATAATCCTAGCACTTTGGGGGGCTGAGGCAGGAGGATCATTTGAGGCCAGGAGTTTAAGACCAGCCTGGGCAATGGTGAGACCACATCTCCACAAAACATGGAAAAATTATCCAGGCTTGGTGGCACGCACCTGTAGTCCTAGCTATTCCAGAGGCTGAGGCAGGATTGCTTGAGCCCAGAAGTTTGAGGTTGCATTGAGCTATGACTGGGCCACTGCATTCTAGCCTAGGTAATAGAACAAGACCCTGTCCCAAAAACCAAAAACCCATGACAAACCTATCTGAGAGTTTAATGTTGCCTGTGGATCTTCCATTTACTACAGTCAAGCCTAAACTCCTGAGCATAACACAGGCAATGTTTCTGTGATATTGGTTATCTCCTTGAGATGATCAACTTGGAATGTTCAGCTTTTGCAGAGACTGACACAACCAGTGAGTGTCGTTTTGTTGCTTAGTTTTTAGGTCAAATCATGTCAGCATGAAGACTCTGTGTTTTTCATTCTAAGTACCTCTATGTTCAAATTAGAGGCCATGGAACATAAAGAAAGTTTGTAGGCTTTGGAGTCAGTGGTGACTTAAGTTCAATTCCCAGTTCTGCCAAAAAGGAGCTGTGTGATTTTTGAGCCAGCCATTTAACTGCTTTGAGCCCAAATACCCTCCTTTGTTTAAAAAATGAAGAAATGAAAATTTTTAAGATAGAGAGTGTGAAGTCAAATAATAAACACCTCCAATTATCTAGCTCAGTGCCTGGCACATAGTAACTCCTCAGTAAAATTTAACATTCAGGTAGCAAAAATTTGAGAAGTGATAATAAATATACAAAACTAATTCCCCAGCTGTATCCTTCCCAGCAGTTGTAGGCTGGGCATGGTGGCTCACGCCTGTAATCCCAGGACTTTGAGAGGCCAAGGTGGGAGGATCACTTGCAGCCAGGAGTTCAAGACCAGCCTAGCTGACATGGTGAAACCCTGTCTGTATGTGGCCTAAAGGAAAGCAAACCTATTGGAAGTCAATGTCAAGTGGAGCAGACAATTGGAAGCTGACACACACATGATTCACCCAGGCAACTAAAAACCAGGAGTTTCCAGCCTAGCTGCCTAGCTCTCTGAAAATGGAATTTGAACCCAGAAAGTGTTGCTGTTGACAAATTCATGAGCAGGATGGGAATATGGTCTCTCTAACAATTATGCATAATATACAAAGTTCATTTTACTTTTTTCTCTGCATAAAATCTTTACTTTTTTCATGTAAATGATAGTAACTGAAATTTTAGTTCAACAGTATAAGGACACGTAGAATATTTATTTTGGTTTATTCTCGAGAGCTCTATACATTTGAAGCACCAAAGGAAGGAAGTAAACAACTTAAGTTTTCTTTACCAGAACATTTAGTATGGGAAGGGAGGAGAGCTATTGAGTTTATGTTTTATTCCAATGCACAGAGTATATTAAAGATATTATGACTTATCTAGGAACACTAAAGAAGCCTTGAAGAGCTTTCATCATTAAGGGAAAGCTTTGTCAAGCTTTGCATTTTTTCATTTTGGTATTTAAACTTCAGCTTAATTTTACCATTTAAGTATACTTAGTAATTTGTATATGCAGCTGACATGATTGAAATAGGGGGCTGAGGCCAGACGCGGTGGCTCATACCTGTAACCCCAGCACTTTGGGGAGGCCAAGGCGAGTGGATCACTTGAGGTCAGGAGTTCAACATGGTGAAACCCCATCTCAGTTAAAAATACAAAAATTAGCCAGGACTGGTTGTGCACGCCTATAATCCTAGCTACTCAGATGGCTGAGGCATGAGAATCACTTGAACCCTGGAGGCAGAGGTTGCAGTGAACCAAGCTGGCACTACTGCACTCCAGCTTGGGCAAGAGAATGAAACTGTGTCTCAGAAAAATAAAAAAGAAATAGGGGGCTGAGTACCTTACGGTACACTTTTCTGCCTTACCATAGAGCTGTAGTGATAATGAATAAACTAATAAAAGAAGCCAACTTGAAATTATCCATGTTGGCAGGGTGACATGCCCAGAACTCCTGACTATAATTACAATAAAGAGACTAGAAAGAACAAAGTAGAAAGCTGGCTTGTTGTGAGGGCAAGACTAAGAGGTAGTGTTTCAACTTCTTACTTTGCAGCAATATGTCTCACCCTAGACACACTTTCTTGTCCAGGTAAGTAATACCATATTCAAACAACATAACAACATTAATATTATACAGCTAAGAAGATGGTGTCTCTGAAAGCAAAGCTAAACCATTTAAGACAAAGAACATTGAAACAAAAAGACAAGTGCCATCTTTCTGGCCATAGTACTACTCTTCTTTGGTTTCAAGGAGTAAAAGGGTGATCTCAATAAATGCAGTATCATTTTCCATTTACTGAGACTTTGACTCAGTCACTTTTATGGTGACTTTGATACTACATTATAGTGCTTAGCCTTTTGTTTTTCTTTAAAAAGGGATTTATTTTCGGTCAATGCCGTCTAAATATCTTTTTTATCTCCTCTGCAGCTCCTCAGAGAAATTTTGAAATTGCCTTCAAGATGTTTGATTTGAATGGAGATGGAGAAGTAGATATGGAGGAGTTTGAACAGGCAAGTTGTCCTGGAGAGTTCCTTTAAATATATTAATACTTAAAATATATGTTCATGTGCCTTGGAGTTACCTTAGCCCTGGTCAGTATACTCAGAGGCTATTCCAGTTTTTGAAGTACCTAAAATGTCATTTCTCAAAATTATTCTTTGAACAGGTGGGTTGGTTTTGTTTGTTTGTTTTCACTCTAAATGTAATGAATTATTTGAACATACCATTAAGGTCACGGTTGCTCTGATTCCCCAGCATAAATTAGGTGATAATGCCTCTAGCTGGGAAGCTAAATTATGGCAATTCAACATATACCAAAAAGCTGCTATGTGCTAGGCAGTTCCAGAATACAAGGACTACATATTTTCTTAAAGGATTTTTTTTTTTTTTGTTTTTTTTTTTTTTGAGATGGAGCCTTGCTCTGTCACCCAGGCTGGAGTGCAGTGGCCGGATCTCGGCTCACTGCAACCTCCCGGGTTTTACGCCATTCTCCTGCGTCAGCCTCCCGAGTAGCTGGGACTACAAGCGCCCACCACCTCTCCCGGCTAGTTTTTTGTATTTTTTTTAGTAGAGACGGGGTTTCACCGTGTTAGCCAGGATGGTCTCGATATCCTGTCCTCGTGATCCGCCCGTCTCGGCCTCCCAAAGTGCTGGGATTACAGGCTTGAGCCACCGCGCTTGGCCACAGGATTTCTATAAGAGAAGGAAAAATGGTACCATACCTTTGACTACAGTAGGTGACAATTTCTTCTAAATCCCAGGAATAGATTACATTTCCATAGAACTTCTGCCATTGAGGAGCCATGGTACTTCTCCAGATACAGTTGTTATGATTGCCAGATGTGGTTTCAAAACAGAAAAACTGTATGTATAGGAAAAAGTATTTTTTGTATTCTCAAAATGAGGAAGAGGGCAAATATTCCAGGAAGTGGGAGAAAGTATCAGGTACATTGTGTAAGGTAAGAAACTGGGCTGGGCATGATCACTTGTGCTTATAATCCCAGCACTTTGGAAGGTGGAGGTGGGGGGGACCACTTGAGGCTAGTTTGAAACCAACCTGGGCAACATAGTGAGACCTTCTCTCTACAGGGGAAAAAAAAAATTAGCTGGGATTGGTGGTATGTGCGTATAGTCCTAGCTACTCTGGAGGCTGTGGTGGGAGGATCACCTGAGCGGAGGAATTTGAAGTTGCAGTGGGCTATGATTGTGCCATTGCACCCCAGCCTGTATGACAGAGCAAGACCGTCTTTTTTTTTTCTTTCTTTCTTTTTTTTTTTGAGATGGAGTCTTGCTCTGTCACCAAGGCTGGAGTGCAGGGGCGCAGTCTCAGCTCACTGCAATCTCCACCTCCCTGGTTCAAGTGATTCTCCTGCCTCAACCTCCTGAGTAGCTGGGATCATAGGCACCCCCACCACACCTGGCTACTTTTTGTGGTTTTAGTAGAGATGGGGTTTCACGATGTTGGCCAGGCTGGTCTCAAACTCCTGTCCTCAGGTGATCCACCCACCTCTGCCTCCCAAAGTGCTGGGATTGTAGGCGTGAGCCATTGCGCCCAGCCGTGAGAGAGTTTTTGAGTCTCAAAAACAAATGTTCATCCTTTTCCCAACAGAGATTTTCTAAGAGGATCCCAATTGTAAAGTTGTCAGGCTGCCTGTGTTAGAACCCTAATTCTACTACTTGCCAGCCATTTGACCTTGAGCAAGTTATTTAATTCTGTGTGCTTCAATCTTGTTTGTAAAACAAGGATAATAATAGGACCTATAAGATTATTGTAGGCTGGGTGCGGTGGCTCATGCCTGCAATCCCAGGACTTTGGGAGACCAAGGTGGGAGGATGACTTGAGGTCAGGAGTTCAAGACCAGCCTGGCCGACATGGTAAAACCCCGTCTCTATTAAAATACAAAAAATTAGCCAGGCATGATGGTGTGCACCTGTAGTCCCAGCTACTCAGGAAGCTGAGACACGAGAATTGCTTGAACCTGGGAGGTAGAGGTTGCAGTGAGCTAATTTCATACCACTGCACTCCAGCCTGGGTGACAGAGACTCTGTCTCAAAAAAAAAAAAAAAAATTGTTGTAAGCATTAAAAGAGAGAATTATAATACAGAGTAGGCAAATAGTAAACAATAGTTATGATTCTTACTTTTCTATGTTTATGTTTTTTCACTTCCTAATATTTTTCTGGATGTGGGTTTGATTCTGTATTAGGTTCAGAGCATCATTCGCTCCCAAACCAGTATGGGTATGCGCCACAGAGATCGTCCGACTACTGGCAACACCCTCAAGTCTGGCTTGTGTTCAGCCCTCACAACCTACTTTTTTGGAGCTGATCTGAAGGGAAAGCTGACAATCAAAAACTTCCTCGAATTTCAGCGTAAACTTCAGCATGATGTTCTGAAGCTCGAGGTAGGTCTTCCTTAGACTTAGCAGATCCACCACGTGTGGAGCTGATGGGCAGGAGGGCCTATGCTATAGACATTCTTTCCATTTCCCTCCAGCTGTGAGAACTGATTGGTTTGGAGCTTATCAGTGATTTATAAACTGACAGCAGGAAACAATACGTTCTGTGAAAATGTCATGAAGTGAAGTGTTTCTTCGAAACACTTGGTTTTCAATCGGAAACCAAAAACCTCTAAATTGAAAATCTTAGCTGTCTTTGTATGCTCAGTTTGTGGAGAAAGAAACTCAGGGGTCACAGCAGTTCTCAATCTGAGCATATATTCCTGCTTTTTTGTTTATCACGTGGAAGACACCAGAAGATGGAGATGAAGAAGGATGGATAATTGCAAAGGTAGTAAAAGCTGGAAACACAAAATGTCAGAATAAAAATATGTGTGCTTAATATAAAATATATGTGCTTAACCAGGCACAGTGGCACACACCTGTAGTCCCAACTACCTGGGAGGCTAAGGTAGGAGCATCGCTTGAGCCCGGGAGTTTGAGAGCAGCCTGGGCAACACAGTGAGATCCTGTCTCTTTAATTATTTAAGGCAATGTTGCTGAGAGTTGCAAAGGTATCTTACTGTGTTTGGGGATTTACAAGTTTACTTTTCCGTTTAAAGTTTAGATCATCTTGCTATTCTGGATATTTATTCCATTCAAAACATTCATCAAATGCCTTCTATATGTATTTTTTTGTCTGGAGACAAAAAATCTAGTCTCTAATTTCTTGACATTTTAAAAAATTCCCTTACACTGGTGTTTGCCAACCTCTTTTTCTTCTTCTTTCTTTTTTCTTTTTTCTTTTTCTTTCTTTTCTTTTTTTTTTTTTTTTTTTTTTTTTTTTTTTTTTTTTTTTGAGGCAGTCTTGCTTTGTCAGCCAGGGTGGAGTGCAGTGGCATGATATGATCTTGGCTCACTGCAACCTCCACATCCCAGGTTCAAGCAATTCTCCTGCCTCAGCCTCCCAAGTAGCTGGAATTACAGGCATGTGCCACCACACCTGGCTAATTTTGTATTTTTAGTAGAGATGCAGTTTCACCATGTTGGCCAGACTGGTCTTGAACTCCTGACCTCACATGATCCTCCTGCCTTGGCCTCCCATAGTGCTGGGATTACAAGTGTGAGCCACCACACCCAGCCTCTCTTTTTCTTTTAACACACGCCCTACCTTAATACTATATGGAATTTTGAAACATTAAATACTGTAACTAAAACAGGTGAAAATATTGGAGAAAGGTGCTATGTTGTTTTTAAACTATATATGTTACTTCTGTATCTGCTTTCCAATGTTTCCCCAAGGTTCTTATATATGATTTCAGCTTTTCCACCCACTTGTCTCAATTGTGTTGTTTCGTTCAATGTCGTTTTGTTGTAACATCGATGAATGGGAACAAATCGATTTCCCCCTAGAGCCTCTGTCTGTGCGGAGTTCCCTGTCTGCTTGAGTTTCCCTGAGTACTCCAGTTTCCTCTCATATCCCAAAGATGTACATGTTCAGTGCACTGGCGTGTCTAAATGGTCCCAGTCTAAGTGAGTGGGTGTGTGCCCTTAGATGGAACGGTATCTTGTCTGAGTTGGGTTCCTGCTTTGCACCCAGAGCAGCCAGGATAGTCTCTGATCATCCTCCATCCTGAGCTGGAATAAGCATGTTAGAAAATGAAAGAATGCGGGCCGGGCGCGGTGGCTCAAGCCTGTAATCCCAGCACTTTGGGAGGCCGAGACGGGCGGATCACGAGGTCGGGAGATCGAGACCATCCTGGCTAACACGGTGAAACCCCGTCTCTACTAAAAAAATACAAAAAACTAGCCGGGCGAGGTGGTGGGCGCCTGTAGTCCCAGCTACTCGGGAGGCTGAGGCAGGAGAATGGCGTAAACCCGGGAGGCGGAGCTTGCAGTGAGCTGAGATCCGGCCACTGCACTCTAGCCTGGGCAGCAGAGTGAGACTCCGTCTCAAAAAAAAAAAAAAGAAAGAAAATGAAAGAATGCAAATTATTGTGAAGTAAAAACTCAAAGTAGATGATAAACAATGCAGTTCAAAAGCTCTCAGTGAGCCTGCCATATTGGTTATTGTTTATGTTTGAACTTCATGGTAGGAGGAGGTACTTATTACAATTTTCACTTTGCAAACATTTATTTCTTGATTTAACCCACCACCACTATGACCACCGACATCTAATAATTCACTAAAAATTGGGTGAATGACTATCTTACTTGTTTTTATCAATCTTTCTTAGATCTATATATAGCTCACATTTATTTCAGTGTTTACTACTAGAAGTGTTTTGGGTCTTTATTTAGAATTTTGGTGATGCTTTTGTTTTTGTTTTGAGATGGAGTCTTGCTCTCTCTCCCAAGCTGGAGTGCAGTGGCACAGTCTCCACTTACTGCAGCCTCCACCTCCCAGGTTCAAGCGATTCTCCTGCCTCAGCCTCCTGAGTAGCTGGGATCACAGGCGTGCCCCACAATGCCCAGCTAATTTTTGTATTTTTAGTACAGTCGGGGCTTTACCATGTTGGCCAGGCTGGACTTGAACTCTCAGCCTCAGGTGATCTGCCCACCTCGGCCTCCCAAAGTGCTGGGATTACAGGTGTGAGCCACCACGCCCAGCCATGGTGATGTTTTTGTGACCAGAAATATGCCATAGGAAATTAACTCTCATCTTTATCAATTAGCCTGTGGTAAAATTGGTTTTGTTATGCATTGTTTCACTTAAAGTCTAAGGTCAGTAAATGTTTGCCATGTTGAAAAGCTTTGCAGCTTCCCTATTCCTTTTTTTCTTTTTTGTTTTTCTTAAGTAAATATTGTATAGGATTTTCTTTTATTCAGTACCTTTACATGAACCAAACACAGCTTCCCTATTCTAACTTCCTTCGCACAGCTGGATAGATAGCTTTCTCTGTCTAGTGAAAAGCTCAAGGCTAAGTAAGTATCAGGAAAGGTTAAGTGCTTAGACTTTAAAGGGTTTTTTCTTCATTGCATGCAGAAGAATGTGACACATCAGCCTAGAAAATCACTTGAAAAGATTTCAACAATAATAGAAGCAAAAGACATTATCTGGTCAGCTCTCAGTAAACCAGAAAATTAGTCATAAATTAATCGTAATACCTCAGTTTCTAAATATTCTAGTTAGTGAAGTTTTCCTTTTGTCTAGTTGTACATAGAGGGCTCTATCTTCAGAATAACCACAGTACTGTTGTTTTTTGCCAGCTACCTTGCCACAGTAAACTGTAGCAGATCATGGAGTTCAAAATATAACTTCACAGAATGAAGAAAATGTATGTCCAATAGCATTTAAGTGTTATGCTTCCAGAGCTTTATTTGGAAATGGTAACATTACTATTTTTACCCTAGGGAAAATAGATACTTCTGAGGCAGTGAATTTTATTTTGTTCACTGATTTATATTGGGTATTTTTATATATAAAATATAGTAGATATGTTACAATACACACACACACACACACACACAAAGGCATAGTGCTTACCTTTGTGAAGTTTACATTCTTATGAGAATATTCCAATATACTCCTCAGAGTATAGAAGAAAGAAGTAGACCTCATCTAACAATGTTTGTATAAGGGTTAGTATGTACTAGGGTTCGAGTCATATGCCTTGCCTCCCTAGTACGCATATATACCCAGACTGGTCTTCATTGGGAGTATTTGTAACATAATCTGGGAATGTAAGTGATTTACCTTATTAATTATATAATTACAGTTAAACAGAGTGTAGGGCCAAAAAATGTAGTTAAAGAAGCACAAGCTAGGGTAATACTTTTAGCAAAAACAAAAAAAGAGAAAAATAAATAAATAAAAACAAACAAAAAAACTTTTAGCAAAAACAATACAGGGTCAACCAGAGGGCTGAGCAGGTGCCAGCCTGACCACAATCTAAACCATCACTTATTCCTAGAAACACAAATGAGGGCCAGGCGCGGTGGCTCAAGCGTGTAATCCCAGCACTTTGGGAGGCCAAGACGGGTGGATCACGAGGTCAGGAGATGGAGACCATCCTGGCTAACACGGTGAAACCCCGTCTCTACTAAAAAATACAAAAAACTAGCCGGGCGAGGTGGCTGAGGCAGGAGAATGGCGTAAACCCGGGAGGCGGAGCTTGCAGTGAGCTGAGATCCGGCCACTGCACTCCAGCCTGGTTGACAGAGCAAGACTCCGTCTCAAAAAAAAAAAAAAGAAACACAATTGAGACCCTAGAGAAACAGAGCGTAGGACTTTTGTCTTGCATACTGAAATGCTATAGAGTTGAAAGCCCACTAACATATTGCGTAGAAGGCTGGGCACGGGTGGCACATGCCTGTAATCCCAGCACTTTGGGAGGCCGAGGTGGGTGGATCATGAGGTCAGGAGATTGAGACCATCCTGGCCAACGTGGTGAAACCCCATCTCTACTAATAATACAAAAAACTAGCCGGGCATGGTGGTGCCTGCCTGTAGTCCCAGATACTCAGGAGGATGAGGCAGGGGAATCGTGAACCAACGAGGTGGAGGTTGCAGTAAGCCAAGATTGTGCCACTGCACTCCAGCCTGATGATAGAGCGAGATTCTGTCTCAAAAAAAAAAAAAAAAAAAAAAAAAAAAAAACCTTATTGCGTAGAATGTCCATGAGGGAAAATATTATAAAGCAGATTAGGAGTTTCATACATATGTTCCTACACATGGCCTACACCCAAATGCAGAAGAAAAGAGATGTAAAAGACAGTCGTATCTAAGATACTCTAGAAGGCTCTCTTTTGTTTGACATTGATGTGGGACTATTTGTAGACTTTGAGCCAAGATGTGCCAAGACTGTTCCTGTTTGCCAGTCAGCAGTTCCTCATGTGAGGAGACCAATAGACTCTTGTGAAAGAATGCCACCTAACATGTAGTAAGTGTTCTGTAAGTGGCTAGTAATACTGAATCCATTCTTTCCATATCATGGCATAAGTCTAGTGCTATGGTTTCATTATAC